TGAATGAATTCAATAAATTCATGCCTGGCCAGAAATCTCTCTCCCATGGGCCTCAGTGCCCAAAATTCCATCACTACGACTATGCTTCTGGTATCACCACCACCACCGCGCACGGCACTTCCCATCCCTGGGCTCAGTCAGTGATCAGAACTGCCAAGCCTGCAAGGGGAACATGATCACTCCATTTTACAGAGGAGAAAATGGGTTGAGAGGAAGTTAGTAACCAGAACCCAGACCTGACTGTATCACCCTAGGCTGCCTGCACTGTCTGCTGTGTTTGGAAAATGCAGGTGTCTCTGGGAAGGGTTGCACATCAGACATCATTGTCATTTATACCTGCTGGGAAGGGCATCTCAGTTGCTGAAGGTCACGATACTGAGCTAATGGGATAAGGGGGTATGACTGGAACACTGGGGATCGGGAGAACGCAGGTGCGGTGGGTGCCAGGAGAGGATGATGGGTAGGAAAAGGGAAGTGGAGTGGGGGTTGGAAGATAGACCTTCAGCACTTCTAGTTTTTTCTGCAGCATCAGCAGCTTGAGAGGGAAGAACTGGTTCTGCCCTAGAGAGGCTGTGTGACCTCTGGGAGCCTTTGCCCTTTATAGAACCACTGGTGCCCTGAGCTGTGTGTGCCTGGACAACTTCCCATCTGTGCACTTGGGTTCAGACAGAGGGAGGCTGCTATTCAGGCAGGATCGGGGCCCTCCGTACCTGCAGCCCCCACAGAGAATCTAGTGCTGCCCTCCACGGGAGGTGGGGAGCAGGCGGATGCTAATCGAACTTTTAAATAGAGTCAGACTTTGAAGTCCTCTGCAGGCCCCCAAAGCACAGAGGCGGCCCTCTGATCTTAGGCCACCTGGGTGTCTGCAGCCCAGACTGGTCACAAGATCCCAGATGCCTGGGCCAGGTGGTGGCTCTCCCTGCTGCCTCCTCCATCCATCCCCAGCCTCTGAAGGGACATCCCTGTATGTGGATGAAGGAGAAGAAAGGCCAGTTTGCCAAGCCCCTCCGTGCGCCAGGCTCTTGTGGGTGCCTTACACACTTTCTCATTTCATCCTCTCAATAGCCGATGACACGGGAGCTTGGAAGGTGAAGTTGCTCCTCCAGAGTCGCTCAGCTGGGACATGGCAGAGCTGGGTTTGAATCCAGGCTAGGCAGCTCTTGCCTCTTCTGGCGCCTTGCTGAGGGAGGCCCTGCCCCAGCCTCAGTGACTGTTGGGGGAAGGGGACTGGTGGACCAGGCTTGGCCATGCCAGGCCAGCTTGTGGGTCACCAGGGCCTCAGGCTCCTGCTTGGGGCTGGTGGCTCCTGTGAGGCCCTCTTCTCTGCAGGGACTTTTTTGTTTCACATCCTTATGTCCAGGCCCAGAGGAGGAGAGGGAGGGAAGGACCAAGGGGAGGTCAGGTCAAGCCCGGGGAAAGTGCCCCCTGTTGTCCTGCAGGACTGAGGCCCAGGGGAGAGTGGTCAGCAGGGTCTGGGGTGTTGAGGGACAGAACCCTGCAAGACGCCATTAGCTGTGGTTCGGAGGCTGTTGGGCAACTGTGTGTGTGTTGGGAGCAACCATGGAAAAGGCTGGTGGCTGGGAGCAGGGGACGCTGACATGGAACTGCCTGCGACTTTTGGCTGGTTTGTTTCCCCTCCCTCAAGTCCTCCTTCCAGGCCCCAGGGACTCGGCAGGGTTTTTAAGGACAACGCCGTCCGCAGCTCCCCACCTGTCTGACTGGCTGGTTCCTCTGTCTCCTATGCTCTCTCACCGCTCTCGTGGGCCTGGGCGTTCCTGGACCTTCACGTGGGGCCTGCGCCCTGGGCCGTCTCTGGCGGGCTGCCACTGGGGCTTTCTCCTTCAGAGACAGGAGGTGTGGCTGGGTCCTCAGGGGCCCCTGGGGTGGGATGTGAGGATGGGGCTGGGGAGGCTTCATCACAGGGACTGGGCACACTGGCAGCGGCTTCAGGGGTCTGGACCTTAGTGTCTGACTGTGGCTGGGCC